GAGCCGGACCAGAAACTCATCTCGGAGCTGCTCTCGCTCATCCCGGTCGAGACCCTTCCCGCAGATGTTCAGCGCCGCCTGGGTCAGATTACCCAGGACACTGCCCTCAAGCAGGGCAAAAGAATGCACAAGTTGGTTTCCGAACAGACCCAACTGAAGAAGGAGCTCGAGAAGCTGAAGTCCGACAAGCTGGCCTTTTCTACGGCGTGGGAAAGCTACATTACACAGATGCTGGAAATGTGGCAGCACCAGAGCGAATCCAGACTTGCCGCTCTGGATGCTTTCGTCGACAAAGAAGCGGACCTCGTCTCCAAGCTCGCTGCAGTTACCAAGGAGCTCGCTGCAGCGACCGCCGCCGAGGCCTCCGAAGGCCACGATGTGGACAAGGAGGACGACTCGGATGTGGAGCTGCAGGCGGCCGAAGATATGGTGGCCACTGCAGCGGCTCAAGAGGCGGAAGTGCGCGAAAGGCACCGGGTCACCAGGGAAAAGATGGTCGAGCAGAACAAGCGGCTGCACGGAATGCTGGAACAGGCCCGGCAAGACGCAGAGGCCGGAGCTGCCAGGGACGGCAGCCGCACGCCACGCCGCAAGGTCAAGGAGGAGCCCAGCGATGGGGAAGTCGTGGACCTGACCAAGCCGTCGCGCCCTGGTGCGGCCCGCACACATGCCTGAGTGGATGGTGCGGGCCGAACGGCCTTCCGCACAGTATTCTGTGCGATGACAGTTTTGTTTCGCCATGGATGGCGGAATTTGTGGCCCTCAATCAAGAATTGGAGGTCACACTCATGAAGGACGAGCTCGATACCCTCTTTCCCTACGCGGAGGATCCGAGGCTGGAGCTTGCCGAGGCTGAAGAAACAGAGCTGCAGCGCAGCCAAGCAGCGCGCGCCGAGTATGACACCAGCGCTGGAATTGAAACGGTGGATCAACCCTTCCAGATTCTCTCGGTGCGCATGCACAGGCCCGGGATTGAGTCCGATGCGGGTTGGTCGCCGTGTTCTCAAGCAGCGTTGGTTGCATACTCCAACTTCTTTGAGGAGGCTCTCGGCTACCACGGGGGTCAGACTGAGAGTGAAAAC